GGGTGATTATTGCATGTTATCATGAGATGGTGTAGGGAAGGAAGTTGAGGGTGGGTTAAAGGTTAATGAAGATGAATTAGGAGATTTGTGCGAGCGTTTCAGTGGTAAGTAAATTGTAGGGATGTCAATGTGACGGTTAAATGTTTGTTTGTCCAAACTATGCCATGCGTGCACGCTTGGTTTGGTCGTTGCTTGTCCTAGGCATCTCGTTTGAGACCATGCAGTCGAATTTATGTCCGTTGTCGTCTGTGTGTTTATCTGGAAGTGAGAATTGCATATATATATATATATATATATATATATATATATATATATATATATATATATATATATATATATATATATATATATATATATATATATATATAACACTGTATAATTTTGCAAAAATTATAATTTAATAAAATGCCTGGATTACAAATCTTCAAATCTATTAAATATATATATATATATATATATATATATATATATATATATATATATATATATATATATATATATATATATATATATATATATATATATATATATATATACTGTATATATATATCAAAATTACACAACAGTCTGTTTCATCAGTAAAGAATCATCATCTAATTTTTATTAACTTCTAATGTTTATAACCCAGAATTGCTGCACACATACAAGTCTGTTTGTGTCAAATGTCACAAAGCCCATCCTTTGGATTCACTCAGTGACACTTTGTGCTGCTAGTGCCCTTTCTTTATATTATGTGATTGACCTTTTTTTTGTTGACTTTGTTGTTTTTGTTGTGATGCACTATTTAGTGCTTAACTATTTGTATACAATATTTCTATGTATTTTACAACTCACGTGGGGAACCCGTTATAGGAGCTTCGGCTCGGTGGGTGCCCCCTTCCTGTATTTGGGTAAATATAATAAATAAATAAATAAATTGTTATAATTGAAGAGTGTTTCTCTTCGGTTTTTATCCGAGTGATACAAAATGAATCATCTGCAAACATGGTATATTTTATTTTATTGCAAGGATGGTTGGTTGTCTTCAGCGTCTTTGGCAACAATGCCTGGCTTCGTTGACACATACAAAGTTGATTTAGTTGATCCTTACTTTGGATTCAAGTCATGGAATGATTTCTTTACCAGAAAATTGAAAAATAACCAAGTTCGTCCGATCGCTGAGCCTAATAATTCATATGTGATCTGTTCTCCCTGTGATTCCATTCCATATTCCATCGAGAAAAACCCAAAGCTCCGAGATCAATTTTGGATCAAGTCACAGCCGTACAGCTTAGAACATCTGCTCGATGATGAAGCCTTGGCCGAGAAATACGTGGGTGGCACTGTTTTTCAAGCTGTTCTCCATCCTACCTACTACCATCGCTGGCATGCACCAGTTGATGGTACAATAACGAAGGCAAACATTAAGCAAGGCGCGTACTATGCAGAAGCTCTCTCGATGGGTTATTATCCAGCACATAATACTCATGCACAACGTTACATCGTTCACCTGAATACCCGAGCCATAATCCACATTGATACAGGAAATCCAAATATTGGTACCGTAATCTTTGTTGCAGTTGGAATTTATGAAGTCTCGAGTTGTCATATTGAGGTATATTATGGGCAGAAAGTGAAGAAAGGTGATCTTCTAGGCACCTTCCAGTTTGGTGGATCCACATACTGCCTCCTGTTTCAAAAGGGTGTGGAAATTACATTTGGTGCTGAACTACCAGATGGAAAATTGAAAACTGGTCTGCAATTTGTCAACAGTGCTATCGGTACAGTCGTAATTCCAGCACACGGCAATAATTACTTGTCAAACGGTAGAAATTAACCAGCATGATCATTTTGTTAACATTAGTGAAATATATAGTTGAACAGAAATTTTGGTAGAGTGATTCTTTGATAGTGAATTGTGGTTGAAACACGGTCAAACAAAACCGGTTTAGACATTATGATGTATTAGGAACTGTAGTTATGAGATTTATTTTTTAGCCTTACGCACCGAGAAATTACTGAAATAGTAACGAACATTATTATATAAAGTATAGTGCTTTATAGAGATTTCGAGCACTGATAAAAGTGATAATCTCACATGTGAGATTATTCATGATAATCTCACATGTGAAAATTATCGCTTTTCAATTCTCGCTTTTCTGTAAAAATTATCGCTTTTCAAAGACTGTCCTTTATATAATAAACAGAAAAATACATGGGTGCTTGGAAGTACCAGATTTATTTTTCGTGTTGAACATGATATCTCGCTCGTTCGCTGCGCTCACTCGTGAGATATCATGTTCAACACTCGAAATAAATCTGGTATTTCCGCGAACCCATGTATTATTACCTCCGCCAGGAGGTTATGTAATCATCTGGGTTTGTACGTGTGTAATACTATGTGTGTGTGTGTATGTGTGTATGTGTGTATTTGTGTGTGTTTGTCTGTGAGCACGATAACTCAAGAAATACCAACCATATTCATACAAAATTTTTTGAATGCATTTCCCATTGACTAAGGAAGAAATGGATTAAAATTTGGTTGAATTTGGTTAAAAATTGAAAGAGAGGTATACAAAATTTTGTCTTGCTTTTCCCGGTCAATTAAAAAAAAACTCATTGAATGCGTAACTAGAGGGCACTCGAAGACTGCATACCTCCGCCCGCATTGAATTTCAGTCGTGTGAAATGCAACTAAGACAATAGATAACGAAGGCTGAAGCTTAATGAGGTTTATCATCTCATTATTGGCTTAGTACTGCGTGCATCGGCATTATACACGTCCTAATTACGCATTCAGTGAGTTTTTTTTAATTGATCGGGAAATTTTGTTCATTTCTCGTTCAATTTTAACCAAATCCAACCAAATTTTAATCAGTTCTTCCTTAGCCGATGGGAAATGCATTAAAAAAAATCTCGTATGAATATGTTTGGTATTTCTTGAGTTATCGTGCTCACAGATAAACACACACACATACATACACATACATACAAACCCAGATGATTACATAACCTCCTGGCGGAGGTAACAAACCCAGATGATTACATAACCTCCTGGCGGAGGTAATAATTAGGACGTGTATAATGTATGCACGCAGTACTAAGACAATAATGAGATGATAAACCTCATTAAGCTTCAGCCTTTGTTATCTATTGTCTTAGTTGCATTTGACGCGACCGAAATTCAATGTCTAAAACAAGGCTTACGGAGTTACGCATTATTGCGTTCAGCAAAGTGGCAGTCCATTCAAATTCTAATAACATTAGATTACTTCAATACAGGTGTATAAAAAAAACGCAACCTCGTAATTTCCCAAGAAATCGACATTGTTTTAAAGACAAAAGATTTTAGCTGCTTGGGAATATAAAATAGCACAACTGTCAAAATTACTGCACATGCGAGTGCATAAAGCAAAATTTATGCATTTATTTAATGACACTTAATAAGTTTTTATTTTACAAGTACTGTACAGTACAACAACAGTAATATGTTCTATTAGCAATTCGATTTCAATTCGCGGGGGCCTAAAATCTTTTATGCTTAAGAATTGCAAAGTGGATTTCTTAGGAAATTCCAAGGTTGCGTTTCATTTCCGAGTAGCGGGCGGAGGTATGCAGTCTCTGAGTGCCCTCTAGTTCTCTATGTAATTACTATTCTGATTGGAATATATTACCATATAGCGGTGAATAATTTTTATTTGATTATAAACTTCGTTGTTTTGTGGTCCTTTTGCCGGCGTCCAAAACTGCAAGTTTCAGTTTGACAGTTCTGACAGTTAAATGGTTTCTAATTTTATTGTCCTCTCAGGTGCGTAGTTTTGATTTAAAATTCAAAACTACGCATCTGATTGGACAATAAAATTAGAAACTCATTTAACTGTCAGAACTATGAAACTGAAACTTGCAGTTTTTCACACGCCGCTTGCAACGAATTGTGATCACGAGATACACAAATATGCATGTCCTTCTTAAAAACGGTCGTTTCGCAGTTTACTGTGAACAATAGTAATAATAAGGTTGTTTTTCTCGATTTCTGCTTAGAATAGAAACACAATGAAGGAATGACGTTTTCACTTGACTTAGAATTAAAAAATAGTTACTCTTTAGCATTAATTTGTTCAGGAAATGGCTGACAAAATTGGTAAAATTCATGGAATGTAAAACTGTTGCTCGAATGCCTCGAAATAAAGTTTTAATACACCTTTCAATTTAGTCTTTTACAAGTTTCGAAAACACAACACAAAGTCAGGGCACCATGCATATACAGCACAATGAGAGACATATGAAAATAAATAGTATCGTACAAATTGAGATATCCATAGGATATACAACAAAATGTATTTAAAAGATATCACAACATGGTTTTTCCCAACAGTAGGGATAGTTTTTGCTATTTCTTTGAAGTGAATGTTTCGGAGTTTAAAATAAGTTTTAAATTATCCGTGAATATGTTTGACACAGTAAAATAATAAAGGAATCCTACATTTCAAAGATTCAGGTGTTCAACACTTCAAAACTACGTATTTTTAGAATTTATTCAGCAGATATATATTGGGCTTTTATATATTTTCATATCTCTACTTTTAAATTATATTAGTTTTAGTAACAGATATTTCGTTGCTACGACGACATACGTGTACGAAATTTACTCCAAAATGGCCTATCGTCTCGTATAGTTGGAAAAGAAGCATGGTAACCCCCATGGTGCATTATTTTACTTGGAAGAAAAGCTAACAATTAACAAAACATAAAACAATTCTGTAATGCCATTTTTTTGGAAAACGCGAAAATGTCGTATTTGTCGTTAAAATGCTTTTGGCATTACAGAATTTTTTTATTTTTTGTATAATGAAAGTTTTTAGCGGTGCAATACAGCAGGAAAAATTTAAACATAGGACACCAGACAAAATAGAGACAAATAGCGCATTAATAGTTTTGTTTGTGGAAACACCACGTAAATTTATTACTGCACTTTTGCAGTACTAAATTTACGTGGTGTTTCCACAAACAAAACTATTATATTTTATCACCATGCAAACGTATACAAAGAACTTATATAGCGCATTGTTTTTCTGAAATGAACGTCAGCAATTGACATAAAACGCTGTAGAACACGCGCAATGACGTGCCGAGATGACGCGAGCAACTGCTCACATCAGGTCATTTTGGAAGTCCTTTTATTTTGTTAATCAGTTTCCGCGAATGGTCACCCGGTTTTATCTTGAGCGGGATCGGATTTTTGTAATAACTATACCGAGCCACCTTAAATACAACATTTTGTGCTTTTTTCGTTCTCTGGGGACGAATTTTTGTGGGTAGCCGCGCGTGAGCAACTATCCATTATGTGAGAGACCGCGTAAGCACGATCCTCTATGGCTCCGTGGGTTTCGTGTCCGTCGTACCTGCTGCGCGGCTCCTTTTATCGTTGAAATACAAACAGTTTGTAGTTTTGTACACCGCAGCCTAAGTGCATAAGGCATGTTCACACTGTATAGAGATGTTTATAAATTCTTAGTCCCCGAGTCTACGGCGCGGAGCGCAGCGCGAGGAAACGAAAGCATTAGCGAAGTCTAAAGTTCATCAGTGATCGCGAGCGTGGATCACTGTGCGTGTTTCGGTGGGTAGTCATCCTCACAGATCTCAAAAATATGCAGGACTGTCATCAATAGCGAACTCTGATTGGTCAAATTCGAAATATAGAATTATAGCGACTGCATGACGACAGCGAAATAGCAAACATTTCTTGATTTGATGATTTCTTACAAATATATTTCATATTTGCAAGATTTTGTAAATTTCAAAAGCTTTTTGAGGAAATAAAGGGAAAAGAAGTGCTAAAGAAGGCTGTAAAGGCGCCGATGTTAACGAAGGTAAGTTTGTTTTAAATATATATTGATCTATTGTACGCTTTATAATTGCTTTAAAAGCTGATTGTTGCGTATATTTTAAATAAAAAAGACAGCGTATAATTTCACTGTTTCTTTATTGATTATACATCACACAACTAGCATATGAATTGCAATTGGGGTCTGAATACAAAGATGTCAAAAAATATACATTAAGCACGCTTTTACGTCAGTATGAATCAGTAAAATTCAATGGTATACCACTTCAGAAATATCAGGAATGAAAAGAGCGGGTCCAAAATAGGCGAGTCTCATAAAATAGCGACTTCAGTCGATCGAATCGAGTCCGAGTCAATGACTCGGTTCGTCACAACACTGGTCTTTGAATGTTCTTTGAATTCACTTGCAAATAATCAAATTTGTATTTCATAATGTTTTGTTTCATGGCGGCCTGTTTCATCATGGCGCACACTTGCTAATGCGCAATACAACGTTAAGGTGGCTCCCAACAGTTATAGTCCAGTCCAGTTTAAAACATTTATATAGATCAGACGTCATTTAAGATCTCGCGACTCGCGCGTGGAGTCTTTGTGGCCTGGCAAAATTTTGAATACAAGCCGCGGGAAGTCGTTTTTTTTATTTTTATCTACAAAGAAAACGCCAGTTTTTATTTTATCCTAAACTTTTCAAGTATGTATCTTGTTTAGTTTTTAACCTACCTTTCAGTGTTTTTTTTCCAGTGTCTTAAATCCCCCTTTTTCTGTTTTCTGTTTTCGTCGTCAAGAAATCGACTTTGCGTTAGCTCATCGCAGGCTCAGGGTGCAACGATTAAGCCAAAATGCCATCGATTCCCCTCGGTTCCATGATTTAGATAATATAGTAACAACCTCGTATTTATGTACGTAATAGCTGGCACATGCCATGCTTGTGGTACATTTTTCGTTTATTAGCTCATACACTTGTACGCACGCGCACAATTCCAAACTCCAAGGTTAGAGTGCTTCAGTGACATATTCAGTTCAGTTTCATAATGGCAGTTTTTCACTGAGCGATCTAATATATATTTCGCACAGTTTCGTTGAATTTTCAAAGAATTGTGCCGGTTTTTCCTACGTGTTGATTGTGCCGGTTTTTCCTACGTGTTCTCTTGCGTGTTGAATTGATGTGTTTTTCTTTGTGTAACGACTCGAAAACCCCAAAATTTGGACTCAGCGAATTTATACAACATAGTGGATTAAGTGGAATATAAGCAAGGACAAAGTTTAAGGTTTGATAGTTTGACTTTTTAAATAACAAGTATAAATATACGTTGTACACTCATGTTGTAGACTAAACATAATTATAGATTTGCACCTAATTACATTAATTTGCGCCAAATTACTCTCCATTTCATCGTATATTACTATAAAAATTTTTTTTTTAAATTGTATTCAGCGATTGTATTCACTTTTTTAATTCTCAAATTGTTTATTAGATGTTTACTGGTTGGAGTTAAGGAAGGGCTTTAGCTTGGGATCAGTTTATCTTATAAATGGAAGAAAATTGGCGTATTTTTTTGAAGAATCGTTTATGCATGTCTGTGAACATTTTAGCACCTGAAATTAGCCATATAATGGCACTAAAAATCAAGGACTATATAATTTCTTTGCTATTATTGGCCCATCGTTATTTGCCCGTGGCCGGAGGGTACGATTGAGCCAGCGTGTTGGTATATTATGGTCGATAGTTGCTGATCATGATTGTATTTATTGGTTGTATTTATATGGTCCAGACCTCCTGTATCCCTATCTACTTCTCTACTGCACATTACACCCTACCACGAAAGTTGCCATTTTCAGGCCAGTGTGAACGCCTGAGCAGGCGTCTTGTTTATATTTAATACGTTCAGTACTGTATTTCATAATGCTCACAATGTTCAACAACAGTGTCACGGACTGAAATTATATGATTTTATAATGTCTTCAAGGCACTTCTGGACTGTCACTGAAACTTACGTAAATCCTGTTATTCAACTCAGTTCACATGTGGTGTTTTATCTGCTGCATGGATCCGATAAAACTATAGTGCAGACAGTTACGAGTTGTTTTATACGAGAAGTCAAATTTTACTTGAATGTTTTGAAAAGTTTTCACTCCCATTTTCACAACAAAACTAAATTTAAGAAACGTTGGATTAAATCTAAGTAAATCTAATCGTAAATCTAAGCCTGTCATGGAATCAGCAACACAGTGTGGCCAATTTGGTGTGGAGTTATTTTGCAGTGAGGTTCAAACTCAAATTATTACAATTTTACAGGTTTACAAAGAAATATAATTCCTCTAGAATGTTTAATGTACATCAATAAGAGAAAAAAGCATCACTATTCGCATACAGTGTATATTTATATTCACCTTTCATGTAGCATAATTAGAGTAATGTTAACATTTTTTGTACTTTCACAGAAATAAATTTTATTGAACATCAATTCTGTGTAATCTGTTTACTTAAGTATCTTTTATAAGAGTAAATTAATTAAACCATACCATGTGTTAAGACTGTTAGCAGGTATTTAATTAATCAGTTCATTGTTTATTGTTAGCCACATAAAACGGCAGAATTGGTAAGATGGCATCACAGAATACCAACACTATATGCTACAGCTGCATATAATAGGAAATGCCAAGAAATAACCTGCAGGACAAATAAAACCTGTGTATAACCACAGTCAGTTCTCAATACAGCACAAACAAAAAACAGCACTTGAAACAAATCAGGGAATTTAATAGGTCAGGATGATGTTCAAACAATAGTTTTGGGGTCAAATACATAATTTATGTAACTACTGTATATTATTTTGTGTGCCAGATGACTGACCCCTGATCCGTTATTTTGAGTGCTAGAAAAGTCAGTATTACGAGACTCTGCCAAAACCAATTTTGCATTTCTAATTATGGCAAACACTATTAGTAGCGGTTGTTTCAATTCAGTACAGCATAGCATCGTATGGCAGAACAGTGTGATTCTTTTTATGCCAAGATAGTAAGCCTTCCATTGAAGATATTGAGATGAAGGGTATTGTAATGCAACCAAGGTCCACAGCTATATTGAAGTACCAGTAACAGCTTTCATCTCCAGAGCTATTAATAAATTGGAATTGCAGGGGTTTTTTAACTCCCTCACCCCCTGTTATAGGCCTAATATCATATAAATATGCTAAACCATCAAGTTGCATTGTGATACCATCGATAATAAAATATATGGATAGGGAACTAGCTGACGTGACCTAATGTTTTCAATGTGATGATAGCGTTGAAACCTAGTTGCAAACCAAATTCTCAAAAACGGCATGTTTAGAGATAATACAGGCTGTCTAAAAAAACGCTATGGAAATTCAAGAGGCTGTCGTGCATCATAAACGTGGCCAAACAATCCAATTTTTACATACGACGAGAGAACAGTTATTTAGCTTTTTAATGATACACTTTTTAAATCGTAACGATGAGAAATGGCCACATACTCGTCAAATAAAAATTGCCGGTCGAAATCACATTCTTACACCGTTGGGAATTGCATGGAAGCATAAACAATTCCCAAGAGGGAATTAAAATTGAATGTTAAATTATCTAAAATAAGCTCAATTCGTCAATCTTTGTCTTAGTGAGACCATGAGAACGTCATTATTACATTACACATGGTTTAATTAACCACTAAACAGAGAACATTCGTAATCAAAACGTTTGACGAAACAATTAGTACCTTGCAGCAGGCTCGCGTTGCTTTTGGATTGATCATAACTTTGCATAATTAATGTATTTTCAATTTCCAACGGTGGAAGAATGTGATTTCGACCGACAATTTTTATTTGACGAGGTAGTGGCGCACAAAGATCCCTTGGGATACCGTCACGGTTTTTGACCACACTGACGATCAGGTCTCCTGTTTCAATAATCTTTTTCAAGATGTTTTAGAACAGCATGCCCCCGTAAAAACGTTTAAATCTAAATATCGCAAATCCAAGGTGATAACTCCTGAGATCAGAGATTTAATGCGTGAACGTGATAGATTGCGGAAACGTGCACATCAAATAATCCCCGTGACTGGGAGCGTTACAGAGGCCTACGACAAGAGGTTAAATCGAAGATAATGCTGTCAGAAATCCAGTTAGTGAAAGATGAAATCAGTGAGAACAAGAGTAACAAGACATCCATCTGGAAAACTGTCCGACATTGCTTAAACCCATGCGGTAATTCAACCACCGCTTACTCACGCGACTGTACAGAGATTGCCAACGAATTCAATCTGTTCTTTACATCAGTTGGCGAAGCTGCTGCAAAACAAGCCCAGAAATTGGCTATAGACTACGAACTAGAAGCTGTTGCCCCTACCAATTCTATCATTGAGGAATGCGTGGATGGCATTGCCCCGTTTCTGTTCAATTGCGTTACACAGGAACAAGTAAGAAACATCATCATGAATATGCCGACAAACAAGGCTCCGGGGTATGATAAAGTTGGTATGAAAGTTCTCAAGATGTGTCTCCCTTCCATCTTACCTGTAATTACAGACATGTTTAATACATCACTTTCAACTGCATGTTTCCCGAAGGACTGGAAACATGCTGAGGTAGTGGCGCATCTAAAAGAGGGGGACCATGAAGTAGCCGGTAATAATCGTCCCATCTCTCTACTACCAGTAATGTCAAAGGTTTTGGAAAGACTAGCACATGACCAATTTGTTGATTATCTAACAACCAACAACATGCTCTCTGATCACCAGAGTGGAAATAAGAAATGCCATTCAACGGAAACGTTGGGAATCCTGTTCACTAGTCATCTTTACAGGGCTATCGACGAGAAAAAGGTGACAGCCGTTCTTATGTTGGACTTGAGCAAAGCGTTTGATAGCATTGACCATCGGAGATTGCTAGATAAACTACGAAAGTTCAATATTCCTGATCTAACCTTGGCATGGTTTCAAAGCTACTTAACTGACAGAACACAATGCGTACGTATTCAAAACTCTCTTTCGGATTCTTTACCAATCAAACATGGAGTTCCACAGGGGTCTATCCTGGGACCCCTGTTGTTTAATCTCTACATAAACGACTTACCATCAGTCTGCCAGACTTGTAACGTTGAATCTTATGTAGATGATTCAAAACTTTATATCTCATTTTCGAATAAGGATGTAAATGGAGGCCTTGATAACCTTAGACACGATTTGAATCGAGTTGCTTCATGGTGCTGTGAGAATCATCTTCTTATAAATCCTGGTAAGACAGAGTTCTGTGTGTTTGGCTCTAATAGAATGCTAGCGAAGACAATTATCCCGCCGATAACGTTTCTAGGGAAGGAATTACCTGTCGTTGATTCGGTGAAGGACCTCGGAATGATAATAGACAAACATTTATCATTTAACGATCACACAGACGCTTTAACAAGCGATCTTATGGGCAAGTTAGCAATGATTAGTAGAATTCGTCACCTATTTGACAAATCTACACTTTTCATTGTAATTAACTCGCTTGTTTTTACAAAGTTATTCTACTGCTCCTCGGTATGGTCAGGTACTAGCAAATCAAATCTTGCTAAACTTCAACAAGTGCAAAACTTTGCAGCCCGCCTGTTGTCAGGAAAGAGAAAATATGAACATATTACA